AAGATTAGCAAAGTTTTAATATACGATAAAAAAGAGTTCAACAAGAGGTGACTGAAGAAAAGATCATTATAGTCAGTTATAAGTTTTTTTTTTTTTGTTTTTTTTTTTCCTTTTTTTTAATAAGTTTAAAAACACATCGTTAATTGCCTTTACACACCATCGTCTTTTTATCTAGATATCTTTCCATTCGGATTGTCTTTCTTGCCCCAAAAGATGACTTTTTAAGTGGGACAGAAGGAAAATCACCTCGATGTCGGCTCTGCCGTTTGGAGTTTTAGCATATTCCGAGGGTTGAATTGTTTACCATTAAAATGGTACGTATATTGTGAATTTGGTTTTTCTGAATACGACATTGGAGTAGTAGTGTATCTATTAAATGTATAATGCTGGACCACCTTGTTTCAAAGATTGGAGGTGTGCGTGTGTGTGTGAAGAAATTTAGAGCCTGTTTTGTTTTTAACCACACATTTTAAAAATTTATATTAAAAATCTAATTTTAATTCTCACCAAACACCGTTTGATTAAATACATGAACAATAATAGTTTATTGGTGCATGAAATTTTGGAGTGGCCTGCAAATTTGGTTCATTGCATACAGAAGAGTATTAATACGCATTCCTCGTTAGCGGAATTCAAATTAATTCCTCTTTATTTAATCATACTAAACCTTCATTTGATCCCATTATTTCTAAAATATATTTTTTTCTTTTATTTTCAATAACACATTTTTTAATAAAATAACTTTACAAACAAATTCAAAATTTTTCCTTATTTTTTCACACAGTATCTATCAAAGTACTATTCCAAAATGTATTTTGGTCTAATCAAAGATATGACCTATTCCATTTGTCAAAAGAATAATATGTATTCATAATTTGTTTGTTGAGGAATTCAAAAGTCATTTAGAAGATTAAGGATTCTGTTGGCGTCATTTATGTTTATACTTTTGGTCCTAGTAGAAAAGTTACCTAAAAACTTTATCTAAAAACTTTTCTAATCACACAAAGTACTTTCAAAAAATTATTCATACAGATTTAAAATTAACTTCTTAACATCATAAGTAACTTTTTTTATTTTCACTTAAGGATTTTAGATTTGTGTTCCAATTCAAAAGGTTAACCATTAACATTTCTAACTAACTCAAGTCATTATATTTTAGTTAGTGATTTTATATGACTTTTGTGAGATTTTATCCTTAAAATACTCCTCGTATGGTGGTGGTTATTCTGAAATATTAAACTTGAAATTTGATAGTCATTTAAGCTTCTAAACAAATCAAATCACACATTTAAACATTATCGGCTCTCATATTATATTATGTATTACGATTCTATCTTAAAATGTCAAACTTGTCAAGATAATTAGCCCAAAATCATGTTGGTTAGTATTTCCATATTGCTAAGTATGTCACACCACAGTTTTTAATATGATTTTTTACATATTATCACATTTATGTTTCAAACTTTTTTTCATCGCATTCTTATTCATAAATTAAAATAAATTGTTCCTGATTTTGATTTCTCTTCAAATTTTTCATTAAAATAGAGTAAAATAGAGTTATTTATCAATAGTATTTTTAAATAATAATAATAATAATAATAATAATAATAATAATAATAATAATACAATTAAATATTTGACCATTATTTTAAAGCATGTTAACAATATTTTTGGACGACAATTATTATTAAGGACAATACTTTTTGATTAATAAAATGTCAAAAAAAAAAAGAATGTGATAAAGAAAAAATTAAGGATATAAATTTAATAATGAATAAAAATTAATGACCTTCAATATAATTAAAATATAATATATTTATAAAAAAAATGGTGTGAATATAACCAGTACCTTTTTCTATCACATTTTTAATTTTTAGTTTTTTATCAATTAACAAATGTTATTCTTAATTATTATTTTTGTCCAAAAAATTTATTAGTCCGTGCTTTAAATTGAGGGATAAATAATGGGAGCCGCTATTTAAATTCACCATGTTAAATATCTATTCCACTCTATTTCTATTAAAATTTAAAAAAAAATCACATTTCAATACTGCCCTTATTAATTTTATTCACGCAAATACTATACATACATACTATTTTTATATATATTTATCCTACTCTAAATTTATCCATATTACAATATTAATTTTTCTTTATAAAAAAAAAAGAAAAAGAAAAAGAAAGACTATATTCATCCCCATTATATATAACATCAACTTTCTCACAATTTAATAACTAATTCTATAGACAAAAAATTAAAAGATAGAACTCCATAAAGCATGAACAATCACCACCACCCTGAATGCCGAGTTTGTGAGATTATACCTTAGAAATTGTAGATGTTAGGCAGCAGTTATGAAAGAATAGATACGGAGAGGCTTAAAATTTATAACGTAACTATGGTAAGCTAAATGCAGAATAAGTTTCAAAACAAATTTTTATGTTTTTGTTTGTTTAGTAGCATATAATATAATCTGGTGTTCAATAAGATTAAAGTTAGTAATAAAAGATGTTTTGGCCTTAATTTAAATATGGTGTGAATAGTTGTTTTTGATAATGTTGCGTGACAATTTCTAAGCTGTTCTCAATGCAGAAAAATTAGGTATGACAATTTTCATAGTATAAATAACAGTAATTTATCCTTGAAATTTGACATATATGTTGTAGAAGATTAACATAATAATAGTTAAAAAAAAAAAAGTTCGATGCAATGACAGACACCTAAAAATTCATTTCGTAAAAACCAAAGTAGGAATATTGGATTCAAAGGTTTGAAAGTATATAAAGGGAGTAGGAGTGTCATTAAGAGACTCTATTTTTAAAAAGTATATATTATCATTTGAAGAATATCTACAAATTTAGATAATTAAAATTTTGAAGTATTCCAACAAACTCTTTATATTTAATAATTAGGGTCCGTTTGATTGCGAAGATGAAATTGAATTGAATTGAAAACGAATTCCAGAGAATTGAATTACCTAAAAATTGTTTTCTAGGAATTGTAAATTATTGTGTTTGATTGGTGTAATTTTTCACGAGAAAAATGTTGAAATGAAAGTATTTTTTAGTGTTCGTTTGGCCCTATTTTATATTAAAATTGTCAATTAAGGGGATAGAATTTACTGATATTGGAGATGAAACTTGTTTCCATTGCCAAAAAAAATTCAAGAAAATCATCTATCTTTTGATATTCGTTTGACTTTGTTTTACATGAAAAATGTCAATTAAATGGAAATAGTTTTTTACAATAATTCTCAGAATTCGTTTCTATTGCCAAATATATTGGTGAGAATTCCAATTCAAGGAATATGTGGAATTTAGTTTAGGTAGCAAAAAAAGTGAAAAATGAATTCTAGGAAAAAAATGCTCTCAAACAATGCAAAAGTGGAAGTTGGAATTGATTTTCCATTTTCTATGAAAAATTTGGGTGTATCAAACACACCCTTAATGTTACTACTCCCAAAAAATGTTTATTATTTTTCTCTATCTTTTATTTTAACTACCTTTTCTTTAGATTATTTTAGTATTTTTCTACATTGAAAATTGAAACACTTTGAATGCATTTAATTATAACGAGTGAGTTTGGAGCACCAAACCTACTCTCTAAATTAAAATGTTAATTTAAAAAGTGTTTATTTAAAGAATATCTCCAAGATATTCCCTATTTTTAAAAAGCAAATTTAGCAATTTAGAAAGCATCTATAACTTTAGATAGCCAAAAATTTTAAATGTTTCAAGAGGCTTTATATTTTTCTTTTAGTTTTACTACTCTCAAAAAGTATTTTTTATTTTTTTCTATCTTTTGTTTTCTCCAACTTCTTTCCAATGAGTGCATTATAGAGAGTAAGTTTGTCTCTCCAAATACATTTTATTTTAAAATATTAATTTAAAAAGTTTTATAGAACAAAATTTTAAGGATTGACTCTTTAAATTAGAGAGTATTATATTTAGGCCCAATTTGACTCTCATTCTTTCAAAAAAATACATTTTTAAATAGTTATCTAATATCATTTTAATTACACATTCTTCATATATTTATTTTTTTGTAACTCGGATGTCCGAGTTTCGTCTGACTAATCTTGAGGAGTGGTTGTCTTTCCTTCTGATTCACCACTCAGGTAAATGCGAATACGGTCACAGTTTATATACACTTGGATCAAACATTTGTGATGTAATTCTCCTCCTTGTGGACCTTCCTTTATAATATGTGACCAGAACCCTCAAAGAAACGATAAAATGCTCCATAACTTTGCCTCTATTGCTATGTTGCATTTACTTGCTTTAATGGTGTCTCTTTCGTTATCTTTTTAGCTTTATTTGAAGAGGATATTTTATTAATATTACAGTTTTTGGTTAAACATAAATTTGAAAAGAATATAAAACATTCAAAAGAATTTAATGAAAATAAATATTAGTGGATGGATTTAGAGCGATATATTTATATATAATTTTATATGTGTGTATTTAAGTAAATTACGTAAAGTTAAAAATAAAATATATTTTTCTTCTTAAAAAGTAGATATATATAGCGTCTCCCTAAATAATTTTTTTTACTCTCTTGATATAATTTTGGACAAAAATCGTTGTATGAAAGAAGATATATTAAATAATAGATGATTGATGAAAAATGCGATAAATAAAAGTATAAACATAAATATAACAATTTACAAGACAGTTCATGCAATTAAAATATATTTTACTTATATTTAACCTTTAATTATTGCAGTCTACTTGGTCATAATTAATGCACGTTAACTCCTGTGTAGTTACGGACATAAGCTACACGTCATTTTAATTTATTTAACGCACGCGTTATTTATGCCGATTTTCCCGTTGGCCTCGTGCCAAGAACTGGTGTCAAATTCTGAAAGCAAATCCAAAGTGGTGCTCTTTACGTGAATACACGGAAAAAAACTGTATAATTTTACACTGAAAAGTGAAAATGACAATAGGCTACATTCCAACAATATAAAACCATAGCCTTTGATGTCCATCAATCTCATTCTTTCTTGCCTCTTTCTCAGATCCTTCCGCTTCTTCTCTCTCTAAAATTATTCTGTAACAATGATTTTTGAAGCTTTCACGTGGTTACGTTTGTTCTTGTTCTTCGTTACTATAGCCTCTTTCTGTATTGTCTCTCTCTCGGTTTTTGTTCTGAGATTGAAGCCATGGTGTAGTTGTGAAATCTGTCAATGTTTTGTCAGTTCAAGGTGGTCCTTGGAATTCAGTAATTTGTGTGATTGGTACTCTCATCTTCTGAAAAAATCAAAAACTGGAACAATTCGTGTTCACATTCTTGGTAATATTATCACTGCCAATCCAGAAAATGTTGAGTACATGCTCAAAAAAAGGTTTGATAATTACCCAAAAGGCAAACAATTTTCATCCATTTTGAGTGATCTTCTGGGGAGAGGGATTTTCAACGTGGATGGCCATTTATGGAAGTTCCAGAGGAAAATGGCAAGTCTAGAACTAAGCAATCTTTCTGTAAAATCATATGCATTTGAGATTGTAGTGTCTGAAATTCGTTCCAGACTAATTCCATTATTTTCCTCTTTTTCTGGTAAAGAAAATGGTGTTCTTGATTTACAAGACGTGTTTCGAAGATTTTCATTCGATAGCATTTGCAAATTTTCATTCGGACTAGACCCCGGCTGCCTAAAATTGTCACTACCGGATTCAGAATTTGCAGTGGCCTTTGATCTTACATCAAAATTATCAGCTGAGCGCGCATTGACGGTATCACCATTGATCTGGAAAATGAAAAGATTTTTCAATTTAGGCAGTGAGAAGAAACTGAGAGAAACCATTAAATTGGTTAATGTCCTAGCTGAGGAGCTGATCAAGCACAAAAGAAACATGGATGTCTCCTCTCATGAAGACCTAGTGTCGAGATTTATGGCGAATATAGACGACGACAAATTCCTCCGGGACATTGTCATAAGCTTTGTCCTGGCAGGTCGAGACACCATTGCCTCAGCCTTAACCACTTTCTTCTGGCTATTGTCAAATCATCCACATGTCATGCTGGCTATTCGAGAAGAATCAGACCGAATAATGGGGTCGAAAACTCAAGATGTTGCGAGTTTTGAGCAATTGAAGGAAATGCATTATCTTCAAGCAGCAGTACATGAGAGCATGAGACTATTTCCACCAGTTCAATTTGATTCAAAGTTCTGTCAAGAAGATGATATTCTCCCAGATGGTACGTTTGTAGCAAAAGGCACTAGGGTTACATACCATCCCTATGCAATGGGCAGAATGGAAACAATTTGGGGCCCGGATTGCCTTGAATTCAAGCCTGAAAGATGGATACAAGATGGGATTTTCAAGCAAGTAAATCCTTTCAAGTACCCAGTATTTCAGGCCGGGTTTAGGGTTTGTTTGGGTAAAGAAATGGCATTGGTGGAAATGAAAAATGTTGCTTTGTCTTTCATTAGGCAGTTTGATATCCAAATGGCTAACCCAAGTCACACTCTTAAGTTCACGCCGGGCCTGACTGCTACAGTCAAAAATGGTTTGCCTGTGTTCGTACAAGGAATCAATGGTCGCACTCAAACTATCAAAAACCTGGCTAAAAATCATCAGTGATGAGACATTTCTTGACTAAACATCTTTTCATCAAAATCTACAATCTCGTGACACAATCTTCCATGCTGCTAAACAATATTGTATATTCTATTCAATGATTTCGCTACATCTTAAAATCTTGATGGGGATTAGGAAAATGAATGTCGGACGTAGATGCATTGAACCCAGGCCTTATTCTCATTGTTTAAACTTTAGATATTGTAGTTAGAAGCACGAGAAAACAATTCAATGTGCAGTGGATAAGGTGGTGGGTTTAGGACCACAAGTTTCTGCAATTCTCTAATGTTTGTAAAATTATTTTGTTAACTTTGGATCTCGAAGTGTCTTGAAAATGTTGGATTCACACTTTGAAATTATTAATATATTAGAATATGTATACTTTTAAGAAAACTTTTTTCAAGTATAATTAAAAACGTTTAGGTTGAAAAGCGAGCATGTATGGTCCTCATGGGATGAAGTTACTTAGAATAGACTGAATTTGTTCAACTTTTTTGTGAGTCACAATTTGTGTGACCGGAGAATTTTGGCTTGAAGCTTTTGGGAACGTTAGAACAATAGGAACATGTAGAATTTCCCGAAATTGATATTGCGTAGAATTCCCCCCCTCTTCCAAAGAGCATAGTATCAAAGATGACATACGATTTTCTCTCTCAACATCATAACACCAGTGAGTAGGCGAATAGCCCAAGAATATGTTACGGTCGTGACTAATTTTTCCATTTTACAGTCCATCTTTTATCTTGTTCATTGTTATACAAAATAATTTTGAACAATGGGTGATGCCTGGTTACTTACAAAATGAGTTAGGGAGACACAATCAAACTTTGTACAAATAGAATACTTTGTTTTTTATTTTTGAATGATTCATATTTAACCTAAAAAAATGTAGATTTACATTTCAAAAATATTTCTTCATTAATATTTTGCTAATCATTTTCATTTATTTGATTTTGAACAATAAATTTTTTAATACTTTGCTCATCACAAGAAAATGTATATTTATGTTTTAAAAAATTGTGTGTTTGATACAAACAATTAATTCAAGTAATCAAAAGAAAAAACAAACAATCAATATTCAATACTAATAATCAGTCAAATAAACACAATTCATTAGATATAAGTTAAATTTTATATAATCAGTTTAGACACGTGCTATATACATAAATAGGATAGGAGAAAATGCAAATTTAGATTCTAATTAGTTGAAAATTTGATTGAAATTTGAAAATTTGTAGTAAATGTAATAATTGTAGAGAAATTATAGACAAATTTTTAAAAAATAGAAGAGTTAAGATTTGGATAAAAGGTTTGAGGGAGAGAATACGATAGAGTAATAAAAAAGAGAGAAAATTCAAATTTATTGTGATTTTGTCTCTATTTGGTGGGAATTAAAGTTCGATTTTTAGTAAATTTTGATAAAATTTTAAAAGTTAAGGAATCCAGGAAATAAGTTATTAAAATTAATTATTAACTTTAATTTAGATTAAAATTTAAATTTCAATCGGCACCAAACATGACCTTATCAAAAAAAAAAAAAAAAAGGAGAAAATCTCAAAAGTTGGGGGTCAAGTGACCCCCATTACCCCCGGCCCTTGGGTCCGCATACACACACACACACACACACACACACAATAAAAAAAATTTTGAGAGGACTTATTTATACAAATGGTCCCAGCCTATGGCTATTTTGGAAAATTATCTTTCCTTTCAATCACGACTCTTAACTTCTTCATTTGAAAGTTTAGGTGCGGATATACTGATAGAGCCTCGATAATATTCACTAATTCAAGAGAAAGAAGGCATATGCTATGGTCAACAGTAGGTTGGCTAGGCCAGCAGATTAATCGTGGGTCAGCCAAGTCAGTAGATAAATTCTGTTGTCTAATCCAGTTAGTATGTTATCTTTAAAGGTAAAATGAGTAGTTGAGTCAATTGAGGAATAAATGTGATAGGGAGGGGGGATTAGAGATTCATTCAGAAGTCGGGGAGATATCTGGTCTCAATTTGATGGAATTTGTCGTTTACATTCTGTGAAATATCAATGCAGTCTTCAGTACAATTGTTCTTTGTTTACAAATAATTGCATCAATCCATCTATACTAAATATCACTCCAACATATATTATATATAATAGAAATTCACTAGCCAACACATCAAATGCTATTTTCGCAACATCTAATTCATAGCACGAGGTCACTACAGCAACACAGTTTTCAACAGTAGATACAGTAGCATCGGCTTCACAGAGATATCTCTAGGAGCAACAGCAGTGAGGTTCTATCAACTTGGTTTCAAAGTGTAAAATGTGTTTTCTAAAACCCATTTTTTAGAAGTGGAAAAACGATTTTGAATGGCATGTCACTTGGCATAAATTTGTTGGCTGATTAATGGCGACCCGAATCTCTATTTCTTTGTGGCTATTTTGGACCATTGGTTTGGATCTAACGACTATGGCTTAAGTGAGAATTATTTGGTTAGTGGTTCCTTGGCTAGCTAGGTCAATTCATTCATTCTTTCAGACTTAATTATCGTATTTTCTCTCACTAAAATCTCAAGAAACTTTTCATCTTCAAGGTCTGTTATTCTTCATTGTGAATCAGATCTGGTTTCTGATTTCTGGTTTTGGTCTATTGTAAAATCAGGCTTGTATGGCGGCTTATGTATTGTGATCATTTACAGAAGTCTTATGTGCTTTTGTGGTTGATTGATCTGTATAGAATTTAAGCTACACTTGGTTTCAGTCTTATGACAATTAGATATTGGTTCTAATGAGATCCATACAGATTGATGATAGTATATTTGAGTCTAATTGTTGTACTCTAACCTTGAACTCTCTCTTGGGTGGTTCTTTGCACATAGTGATGGACTCTTTATCTCCGAGCCCCTAGATTAGGCATTGCTGAACTGTGTGACCATATTTTTGTACTCTAACCTTGACCATATTTTGGTATTACGCTTACTGTTTTTTGTGAGTTTGTGGTGCGATTTTGCCTATTTTTTGTGGGCAAAATCCTAACGAAATTGGTATCAAAGCCTCATAAGGTGTTCGGTAAGGCATTTTTGAAATGCGATTTGAATTTCTTTTCGTATTGATGCATTTTTTGATCTGTGCAATTCTTGAATTTGATTCGAACTGAGATTCTTGGAGGCTGGGTTTGGGATTTGGCTTTGAAATTATCGCTGGAATTGGATTTTAATTTCTAAAAACGAACTGGATATTTAAATATTGTTATACATAGTATTTCGGTGAGATTGTTCCAATTACATTTATCAGTAACTAATTTGCATGATTTAAATGTTATATGTGAATCTATTGATATTACTGTGATTTAGTTTATCCAAGAATCATGATAAATTATTTGATTGTAATAAGTGTACGTTTAGATTTTTCCCAGTTTCTTCAATCTGAATGTTTGGCATCATCTGTAGTAACTCTAAATTGATTCTTCTTGGATACTTTTTTAGTCTGTGCATATTATTGTAGAGTTGATTTTCATTCTGAGATCAACTTGTCAAAAATTGCAAAAACTTTTTCAAAACCTTTTCCGCAACTTAAGTAATCTTCAAATTAAATACCACGTATGTCCACTAGTAATAGTCAACCTTTTATAGAACCTGCAATGGGTTTGAAGGTCGAATTATTACAATTCAATGGAAAGAGGGATTACTCCATCTAGAAACAAAAAATGAGGGTCATATTGGTCCAACAAAGGATTGCTAAAACCCTGGATGATCTTAAAACTTTTTCTGTTGAATTGAAAGCTAAGCCTGATGAAATTCAAGATATAAATGAAATTGTATATAATTCTATCATATTGCACTTATTTGACAATATAGTAAGACAAGTTGAAGATACTAAAATCCCTAGAGCCTTGTGGCCTGCATTAAACGCTTTGTTTTGTACTAAGACATTGCCTAATAAAATCTACCTCTTAGATAAACTCTTTAGTTTCAAAATGGATGCTAGGAAAGAATTGGAAATTAATTTGAGTGATTTTAGCATCCTAGCTAACAGCATTGTTCATAATGACCAAAAGAGAGAGAGAGAGAGAGAATGAGGACCTTGCGGTGATACTTCTTAATTCATTACCTGATTTATATAAGGATATCAAGAATGTGATAGACTACTCGAAAGATGTACTAACACAAATAGTTCTCACTAATGCTCTAAGATATCGAGAATTGGAGGTCAAGAGAGGAGATATGTTTGTAAAAGGAATAACTAAGAAGAAGGAAAATAACTTCAACAACATAACATTCAAATCTAAATATAAAATTAGATATAAGTTAAGAGATAAAAGCAATAAGCAGTGTTGCCATTTTGGAAAGTTAGGCCACTTTATAAGAGATTGTTTTGAATGAAAGAAAAAACTAAAGGATCAAAATAATGGTGAATTGAATAATTCTGCCATAGGTTCTGAATTAGATAGCCTATTTATAATGATTGTGTCTAATGAAGAGTTGATAAGGACTGGATCTTGAATTCAGGGTGTACATTCCACATGTGTCCTAATAGGTCTTGGTTTAATAATTACATTGAAATTGAACCCTAGAAAGTGTATATGGGTAAAAATAACTTTCAAAGTGTTCTTGGTATTGGTGATATTTTCCAACAAAATGTATGATGGTACTGTTAGGCAACTGAAAATGTGAGATATGTCCTAAATCTGAAAAGAAAACTCATCTCATTGGGAATCCTTAAAGATGGGGGACATTCTTTCAAGTCCGAAAAATTACACTTTAAAAGTGATGAAGGATCTTTGGTAATTTTCAGTGGGCCTAAAGAAATAGATTGTGCTATCTTATGGGAGAGATTAATTGTTACTCCTCAAGATGCCAAGTCTTTGATCATAATTGAAAACAAATTAGAATTGTGGCATAATAGAATGTGATATATAGGAAAATAAGGGTCTGGAGTATCTAAATAAACGAAAATTACTTGGGAAATATATTATTGAGCCCCTTGAATTTTGTGAAACATGTGTGCTGGGTAAGTCACAGGGGGTGGCTTTGAGACTGGGTTACATACTACCTCTAGGCCCTAGACTATGTCCACTCGAATTTATGAGGACTAGAGAGTCATCCTACCTTTGGAAGGAATAAGTATTTCATTTCTATAGTTGATGACTACTCAAGAAAGGTGTGGACTTATCCATTGAAGTCTCAACTTGAAACATTTCAAAAATTCAGAACTTGGTTAAAGATGGTTGAAAATTAACTTGATAAGAAGTTGAAAATTAAGTTGATAATAATGATTTGGAATTTTGTAATGATGAGTTTGATAACTTTTGTAAACAAAAGGGAATTGTAAGATACAGAACAGTTAAACACAAATCTCAACAAAATAGGGTCACTGAAAGAATGAACAGAAATCTAATAAACAAGGTTAGGTATATGCTAATTAATTCTGGATTAGCTAAAGGTTTTTAAGCTGAGGCTTATCTTATAAA